AAAGGAACTTGCCATGCGGAAAGCAACCTTTGAGGGCTTTAAATCCCCTTTTAACTACCTCATTCAAGGTATCTTCATTATATTCTTAATTTCCTATAGCTATCTAGCCCACCCCTACTAAAATACCTACCTTAAGTATTGACTTAAGTGTTGAAGGATCTATCTCAAGGACCAACCTCAAGTCTTGCAATTCATCTATTTGATGTATACAGGTTGGTACGTTGGGCTATTTGAGATCCTAAGCTAACCCATATATTTACACCAATTCAATTATAATGGAGTACTCTATCACCATTCAATCTTCAATGTTCCTCAAGTTCTCATTTCTTTTCAACTTTTTCATTTATAATCAAGAGAGCCAAGGAAGTAACAAGTAACAACCTATGTTTTGACCAAGCAGAAGGACCTAGATCTGTCTAGTTTCCTCTCAAAATTGAAACCTTAGCTCTATTTATCCATGAATTTGACTCCAACAAATAATTTTCCTTTTTTATTGTTCATTTCCTTTTGCTCTCTTTTGAGTATGTGGTTTGTTCTGCCATTATTAGAGTATTGAGCATGTAGTTTATTTTGTCATTATTAGAGTAATCTCATGGGTAGAGAGATATATAAAGAAAGAGGAAGGAGAAAGAAAGATGGTGGAATTTGTGAGTACAAATTAGTGCTTATTAGTTAGACTTACCAAAAAATTAGGTAAAAAAACACTTAAAATTATATCATTTTAATAAAGTATTATAAGAAAAAACTAACATAATCTTACTCATTTTAAAAACTATGTTTTAGTCTTTTTCAATGAAAATTTATTGACACAACTTGCTTTTAAGGTTTTTTTGCTTAATTTTTGCAAATACAATTGATAAAAAATAATGTAAATATATGTCCATCTCAAACAAAAAAAAGAAAAAGAAAAAAAAAAGCTTTTATTTATGTATTTATAAAACATAATTAAAAGACAATTTTTTCATGCAATTTTACTCATAATATTATATATATCTATCCATTTTGGTGACAAGTTAAAATTGCATAAAAATTGTACCAAAAATTACTCATAATATCATTATCCTTTATTTATCTATCATGTCATAAAATAAATGAGCTATTTTAGCAAAGGAAAAAGTGTTATGTAGTTTAAACTCTACCAAAATGTATAACATTAATCATTGGATAAAAATTGAGCTCCTAAATCCAATTCTCATCCAATAGTCTCTGTTTTTACTGTTACAACTGCACCTAATTATGAAACAAAAATTTTGTTGAGGTGAATTCCTTTAAATTAATAATTAACTTTCTCAAGCCATCTTAACCTTTATTTGTTTGTTAAATTAATTATATTTTTATATAATTTAAAACAAACTAGTAAGCATTAAGTGATGTGGAAACGTCTAATTTAAAAAAGGAGAGCTCTTAACTCTCTTATCTTCCTTAACTACCACATGACACTAATTTCCTCTTAGTTTTATAGTCTAACATAGCTTATATTAATTATTAACCTAATTTACGCAATTCTTTGTAAATTTCATGCATAAATCTTAAGCTTTTGAAGCATTAAATTTAACAATAAAAACTCATTGTACAAATAATTTTAATTAAAAATATAAACATAACAAAATTTATATTAAATAAATTAGACGACATCCTAGCCTTATTAGGCTAAACTAGATCATAATAAAAACAATGAAACTTGAAATTATTTATGAACATAACAATATCAAACAACAGACAGAAATAATATTAAAAAATATACAACTCAATTCAAGTTAAAATCTTTAATATTTTATTATTAATAAATTCCTTATTATCTCCTCTGTCTTCTCCAATAGTGCCCGCAAAAAAAATGCCACCAGCCTCTTCCTAAAAGCCTTTTCATTGTGATCTTGAATTAGTACTTGTAAGAGTGCAGAAAACCTTATTGGCATAAACATGAAACCAACACCAAAATAATAAAGACTAAATGTGAACTTGCTAAAATTGCCCAAAAGGGTTGATACCCTAAAGAAGATACCAACACCTTTACTAAATCACTGAATAAAAAGTCCGTGTCGGGTTTTTTAGCTTTTTTTTAAACAATTTTGGTTAAAGGCAAAAGGATAGAATTGGTTCATAACTTCTAGTTTCTGCACAATTTAATCCTTAACCCTTTTTATCATTGCAGCTTGGTCTTAAAAGTTATGATTTCTTCTAAATAAGTCCTTTTCTATACAAAGAAAAAAAATTATATAAAATCAAGTAAAATCTCATAAAACTCATCTAAATATTAATAATATCAAAACAAAAAATTTTATATTAATATATATATAAATTCAACTCATATAGAATTCTAACATTCAAAAACTAGTTTTGTAGGACGAGAACTAAAATTCTATGATGAACATCCTCCTGATAAGCTTATGCAACCACTTGAGTCAACTTACACAAGCTCTTACAGAAAATAGGAAAAGCTACTAATATAAGTGAAGGCCCTAAGTTAAGTTGCGGTTGTCGTCCTCATCCCCATCATCATCCTCATCATCATTCTCATCTTGATCATCATCGCTCTCTGAGCCCTCATCTTTTCCCTTACAAAAGGGCAGTTATAAATAAACAGTAGCAATCTACATGCAATTTGTTAGAATGAGGATCTTTTGCCCGAATAGCATGAGGATTTGGGGATTGAATTTAGTATAAAAGGGACTTAATATGGTCTGCATAGTAATTATTGAGAATTTGAGTTTTTTTATCTTATAAATGCACCAGGCCAACCAAATAGGAGAAAACATAAACCTTACTTCCCAAGGAGCTTTGACAATAAAGTGTGTGTGTATCATATATAGCATCATCTAAATTCACCATTACCAAAGCAACTAGATCAAAACATGGTGATGGAATTGATAGAAGAATAAAATATCAAAATGATGGTGAATGCATTCTAGCCATGCAATTCAAATCATTGCATGATTTGGTTATAAAACACAGAATCCCATTAGTTCTCACATTAAGCAAACCGAAGAATTAAAACCTTGATGAAAAATGCAAGTTTCAAGGCAGAAACCATATAACATACCAAAATCCAGTCATCATGTAATCATACAATCATTCACCCAATATTATATATGAAGCAAGCAATGAAATTCTCAATTATAAATGCTTCTAATCAAAAGGTACATTCTTTCAAACAGGTAAATAAACCCTTAATAATTCTAAAATTAAGATTATTTGCTTTTTATATCTTATTAATTTAATTAGCATATTCAGGAAGTTCAATTGGACTCTAATTCTAAACTTCTTTTGGTGATCTAAACTTCTTTCTCAAAATAGCTAGAATGTAGTGTTATCATAAGCAGTCACTTCACCGCTCAAAGCAATGAAGCAAAGCAATCAGAAGCATCACTGCTTAAAAATTTTTAAAGCACTCAACCTGAAGAAATCGACGCTAAAGCAATCAAAGCAATGTGAAGCAAACAAAGCACTCTGAAATTGAAGTAATCACTTCTTTAAGAAGTCCCAAAAAGACCAAAAAACTACATGAATAAAAAAAAGAATAGCAACATTAAAGGTTAAGTTGGAATTTCCACTCAAATTAGGGCAAAATAATTAAATCTCTGGCCTTCCACCTACCTATCCGCTACTTTTCTCTACAACTTCATTGTCTTCTACCTTCATCATCTTCCGAAGCCCAAACTTCATCAAATCATCTGTGACCAAGAGGTAAGTCCTATTAGGTTCTCTTTGTATTTTGATGATGATTTAAAATCATGATTTAAAGAGTTTAATCTATTTTTGTGCTAAATGTGCAA